AAGGGAAGGAGGGCGAGGAAGACATACCTGGAACTCGGCCTGGGCTCGGTCGGCTTGTGTCCCGCGGCCAGAGAGGGGTAGTACGGCATACTCGGGGGCATTGCGGAGTAGGACCTCGAGGGCGTCGAGAACGATGGTGATAGCGAGAAGAGTGCAATCCCACGACCGAAGGGCCGGATGCGGGCCAACATGGGACAAGTGGGTGATGTCATATACTGTACGGGTTTCGAAGTTGCCGAACTTGAGCGATTGTCGGTTATATCCGATCGGCTTGCATTCCGAGTTGTCGCTGAATACGAAAGGCGAGGCGCTCAGCGCCGTCGACAAACCGCGATCGCGTGCCGCGACAGGCTAGATGCTCGGGGCGGACGGGGCCGACACCCCACTTGGGGCCGCCGATGGCACCAAAAAGGACGGCGTCAGACTCCTGGCACGTCTTGAGGGTGTCGTCCGGGAGGGGAGTGCCGTGGTTGTCAATTGCGATACCACCGAAGTCCTTCTCGGTGAGCTCGAGCTTGAGTCCGGTCTTGTCAGTGACGACCTTGAGGACGCGGACGGCCTGCTCGACGATCTCGGGGCCTGGATGTTTAGCTTGCAATCCAGAGGACGACTAAGCTGTACTCACCGATACCGTCACCACCGAGGACAGCGATCTTGAAGCTGAGCGTTAGTGACTACCACGAATGCACAACGCACGTCTTGTCAGCCATTTTGATGAGTTGTGTTGAAAGTTGGAAAGGAATCAGGTAGAGGAAAGTCGCGTATCTTTATGAGGCAATGACCGGGTCATTCGGCGGGTCAACGCAGCGGCACAGCGGGTAGAATGCGGCTTTCGGGTCGCATCGGCCGACATGGGCAACTCTCGTGGGTGGGCACGTGGCAGTCGGCCGAAATATCTCTTCTTACATAATCGTTCTCTCCAGCGCTGGTGGAGATCGGCGCTGTCCGCTCACGTGACCAAAGATTTCTGTCGTAAGAGCAGTCCACCAGTCGCCGCCAGCAAATGTTCGAGCGGCGAGCAGGGCGTTAGCAACAATCACACACCATGGCATTCTCATACAGCGCCGCCGCCAAGGCGGCCAGCGACAAACCCGCCGAAACTACGCCTACCGACAACGTTGCCTCGAGCAGCGGCGAGAAGCCGACTATCCAGCACCTAATCCTTGATGCTGGACCACTTCTGAGTCTGGCGCCGCTGCGCCACCTCGCCGCGCAGTTCCACACGACCCCGGGCGTGCTCGCGGAGCTGCGTGACCCCAAGGCGCGCGAGCACTGGGAGCGCCTCAAGCTCCAGATCGACGTCCAGGTCGAGGCGCCGCGCGCGGACGCCTTTGCCGCCGTGACGGCCTTTGCGAAGAAGAGCGGAGACTACGCCGTGCTCTCGGCCACTGACATGAGCGTCGTCGCGCTCACGTACCAGTATGAAGCTGCCGTCAATGGGACGGGAAGGATACGCACTGCGCCGGGACAGAAGCTGCCCCCGCTCGCTGGACAGAAGGAGGAGCCGAAGGAGAAGCTTGCGGATGACGAGGAGGAGGTTGAGGCCACTGCGGAGGATGTGGCTGAGGACAAAGAGGAGACGAAGGAGGAGAAGAAGGATGAGGCGGACGAGGTTGCTAAGGGCGTCGAGGGCCTCTCGACCGAGGACAAGCCCGAGACGTTCGAGCCCGCCGCTGAGGCCCAGGAGTCTGCTCCTGAGCCTGAGCCGACGACGGAGACCGCCGAGGAGCCCAAGGCGACTGCCACTGCTGCCGACGACTCGGACGACGGCGAGTGGATCACGCCCTCGAACGTGAAGGCACACCGCTCGAAGGACCTCGGCCTGCTCCCCGACGACGCTCGTGCGGCTGCCGCGCCTCTCGCTGCGGCGTGTATGACGGGCGACTATGCGGTCCAGAACGTCCTCCTCGGTATGGGTCTGGGCCTGGTCGGGGAGGGCGGCAAGCGTATCTCCAAGGTGCGCTCGTGGGTCCTGCGCTGCCACGCCTGCTTCAAGCTGTGCAAGGACCCGTCGAAGCGTTTCTGCCCCTCGTGCGGCAACGCGACCCTCATGCGCACCACCGTCACCACGTCCGCTGCCACAGGCAAGCAGACGATCCACCTGAAGAAGGGCTTCCAGTACCACCTCCGCGGGACCAAGTACTCGATCCCGGACCCGAAGCCGGGCCGCGCAAAGGGACAGCAGAAGGCTGGCTCGGGCCTGATTCTGAGAGAGGACCAGGCCGAGTGGCAGGACGCGGTCAGGAAGCAGAACAGGCAGAGGGAGAAGGAGGAGAAGAAGATTGCCCGCGGCGATGCGTCTTCGTGGATGGACCCGGACGTAAGTTCTCATTTATTTGTGGTTCTTGAAATGAACTGCGCTGACATACAGTGGATGCCTGAGATTATCTCGGTCGGCATGAGCGGAAAGGGCAGGACGGATACGCGTGGCATGCCCGTCATCGGCCACGGACGGAAGAACCCCAACGAGCGCAAGAAGCGCCGATAAGCATCTGGCACGCCGCATGACAGTAGATTAGACTTCAAGTGTACCATAGCTGTAACCTGGATAGTGGATAGCTTTCGAGATCTATGACATCTACCTATTCTTCTTCAGAGCTTCGAGACTGGTTTGTACTTTGCGTCCTTCCTCAGGACCATCTCGGCGTTGCGCGGGTTCTGCGTCCACGTGTTGATCATGACCATACGATCCGCGCAGCCTCCTCTCCTCTCCTCGTCCGCGATCTCGGGGCCGGGGTGCTCGCAGCTGATAATGACTCGGCCGTCATCGACCTGCCCTTCGACATAGGGACACATGATCTTGTCCTTCCACGGGATCTGTGTCGTCCAATGTCCGCTGTCGCCGGTGGGTACGCGGTGGATGAACTCGAGCAGATTCTTGCGCTCCACGGCGTAATCTCTGTTCGGACCTTGCGGGAAGAACGGCGCCATGACGTGCAGAGGAAACGCCTGCGGCTCGTACAGCATCACTTCGCCCGATTGCGCGCGCCGCACCCACTCCCGTACGTCGGCCCATTCCGCCTCTGTGTGCTCCAGTCCTCCGTCGTGCGCCGTGTCCGGTGTCGGTTGTCCAAGAGGGAGCATGTAGATGTACATCTGCACCGAGAAACGCTTCTTGATTGGCGCCCCGGGCGGTGTGATCCAACGCGTGAACGGGACGAGACCATCTGCATGTCAGCTTCTCCCTTGGATACGAAGCTCAGACTTACTCAAATCCGGCACACCGCCGACCTTGTCCAGCCAATCTGTGAACTTGATCTGGTCCGCGTGTGTCGCCTTCCTTCCCTTTACCCGGGTCTCGTCGTTAAGCTGCAGCAGCTCAAATCCACTCTCCTGTCCCTTCGGCTTCGCAAGAAGGATACCACTCTCCTCAAATGTTTCCCTAATCGCGGCCAGCTGGTACGCCTCGCTGTCCCAGTGTCGCTTCGGGTCGCCGGGCGGGGGGACGGGCTCCTCATGAAACTCGCTCACTGTTCCTCCAGGGAAGACGTGTGCAGAGGGGAAAGCCGAAGACGTCTTGACGCGGTGCAGGAGCAGAATCTGATTTGTCGGAGAGAGAAGGAGAACGCTGACTGTTAGCTTCATCCGGCACGCAGTAGCTGTCAACAAAGGGAAGGAGGGCGAGGAAGACATACCTGGAACTCGGCCTGGGCTCGGTCGGCTTGTGTCCCGCGGCCAGAGAGGGGTAGTACGGCATACTCGGGGGCATTGCGGAGTAGGACCTCGAGGGCGTCGAGAACGATGGTGATAGCGAGAAGAGTGCAATCCCACGACCGAAGGGCCGGATGCGGGCCAACATGGGACAAGTGGGTGATGTCATATACTGTACGGGTTTCGAAGTTGCCGAACTTGAGCGATTGTCGGTTATATCCGATCGGCTTGCATTCCGAGTTGTCGCTGAATACGAAAGGCGAGGCGCTCAGCGCCGTCGACAAACCGCGATCGCGTGCCGCGACAGGCTAGATTGTGCGACCTCGGTATGCATAGAAGGCGCAGCAACAAACCGGCAACCATAGCAGAGATAGCATTGCATGGTCCGAACCAGAACACATCTATGCGAGATGTTGTCGAGTCGCAGTCCACAGCGATAAACGTAGTTCGCATACTTCTGATTAAGAGCAAGGAGACGACACTCATCTGCTCAGAGGAACGGGCGATGCTCGCCTTCATGTTTTTATTGACGCAAGTCGTTCAGCGTTGCGAACTCCCTTTCAGAACCGAAGCACCTCAGCATTCTCGAGGGAAGGGATCGCAGAACTCAGGCGCACAGGAAAAACTGGTACCGTCATCTCCGTGATGACACACATGCTGGGTTGCGGGGTCATCTTGAGGAAGTCGCAAAGGCTGCATAGCTGATTAGGATGGCGAAGTGGAGCAGGGGTCGTGTGAGATCTGAGAGAGTGTGAGAATGGAACTCACGGATGCTAGGCGATCCCGGATGTGTATCGAAACGGACTCGGCCCGATGTTCCGGACTCATGGCGCCCCCTGTCCATCAGCTTGGTGTCCCGATCACTATTTGACTGCTCATCCCTCCTCATGACGACTGAGCGCTTGTCCATTCCAATAGACGAGCGACAAGCCGACTCAAGGCTGTCACTATCCAGTGCTGCCTGCTAAACCGTTTCCTCTATTGACCACTGCGGAAATGTTGCTCTCCGCATGGCTCAACGAGGACAAAGGATAAGGGGGCTTCGTTGCTCCGCAGTTGTCGGCTGCCTCGCACAACGCAGGCGGAAGGTGCGTTCTAGCCTGAGACATGGCGGTCACTAGTGGTCTGATCGTGCAGATCAACCGTTTCCACTCCCTTTCATCCCCCTTCCCGCTGTGCGCCTCCTTGATAAGCTCAGCTCTAGAGAAAGCGCACTTCGCCTTCTCCCTCAGCTTTCCGCATTGCGCTTCACCACCATGTCCTACTACTATAACACGTACGACTCGGACTCGGACGACGACGACTACTACTACTCTGCCAACACAGTTGTCCACACCACCGGCTACGCGGAGGTGGTGCAACCCGCTCCTGCCTACTGCGCGACTTGTGACCGCACCTTCCTCAACGAGCACAACTTGCAGCAGCACCTCCGTTCTCACATTCACCGCGGCAATGATACTCTCTGTCCCTTCTGCAACCGTGGCTTTTCGACCGCGACTGGTCTCATTCACCACCTCGAACGCGGCTCCTGTCCCCGTGCTCCTGGCATTGACCGCGAACAGATCTTCCGCATCATGAAGCAGCGCGACCCCAACGGCTATGTCACCAACCTGCTGCTCAAGTACGAGACCTCGTCGTTCACCACTTCAAACCAGAGCTGGAACGGTCGCGCGTGGCAGTGCTACTTCTGCAACCGCGAGTTCCGCACCCAGTCTTCCCTCAACCAGCACCTCAACTCGCCCGTTCGTGAGTCATGCTCCGCCGTCGGCGTCGGCGTCACCTGAGGCTACGTCTGTGCGGGGGGCGCAGTCCAGCCACAGTGGGCACGCATGCACGCGCTGACGCTCAGACCAGCAGAATCTGTACCACTGCCCCAACCGCCGTACGTGCAACAGGCAGTTCACCACGCTCGCTGCGGCCGTGAACCACCTCGAGAGCGAGCGCTGCGGCTTCATGACCTTCAACCAGGTGCAGAACACCATGGGCAACCTGATCGGCAGCGACCGCCGCTTGACCTTCTGAAGCCCCTTGCCAAACCCCGCTACAGGGTCTGGGACCCACTTCGTCTCTGACCATTCAGAATAAGCATGTGTGTTATATGCATAGAACCGACGTGTGTTATACGGCAAGCTCCGTCGAGAACAATAAGAAAAGAGCAAGAGGCGCATTCCGCGCACTGTGCGAGAGGCGTGCGGCGCGACGGCGGTGGCTCGGCGGTGGCGTTTCGCAGCCTCTCAGCACAAAGTACGAGATCTCCGTTTCCTCCATCATGTGCTCCGCGATCTTCCTGCTGATTTTCTCATTCATCTGTTCTCTTTCTATTGCATACTCACTCTCAATTGACGACAGAACAAGCATGTTCATCTCGCACATCAACACGCGGTGGGTGCACGAGCGTCCGCCAGAGGTGTTCGAGGAGCGACCCCGGCCGACGTTCCACTGTGCGAGCTGCGACCGATCTTTCGACTCACTAGATCGCCTGCGAACACACCTCCGCTCAATCACACATCTGAACCAGAGCATATCGTGTCCCTTCTGTTCGCGCGGGTACGCAACCGGCTCCGGAGTCGTCAGTCACCTTGAACAAGGCTGCTTGGCGGCGCCGCAAGTGAACGCCCGCACGATGACGAAGTACCTGAAGCAAGCCGACTCGACTGGCTACGTTGCAAACCTGCTTGCGGCGCTGCAGCCTGCAGTCCTCCGCATCACGTATGCGGCAAGACAGGACATGTTCCGGTGCAAGAGCTGCGGGATCGAGGTCACGGCGCCGGATATCGTGAAGCGGCACATTCAAGCGGAACGTGAGTCGTGCTTTCTCTTCTCCCTTACACTTCTCTTCCATACGACGGGGGAATTAAGAGGCGGGGAGAGTGGAAGACAGGCAGATGCGCAGGGGCTAACGGACACAGACGAAGGCCAGAAGTATCGCTGTCCGAACTTGGGCGAGTGCAATCGGGAATTCTCCACTCTCGCTGCTGCCGTGAACCATCTTGAAAGCGAGAGGTGTGGGTTCCCACTGCAACGGCTGCACGACGTACCCAGCGCGCACTTCGTTCCTGGGAGTATGGGCCGGAGAGCGTTGCAGATTCCCGTCTAGGTTGCTCCCCCGCGCTCTACTTCGAGGTGGGTGGCGACAGTGATCTATGCCGGTGTTCCGTCACATGGAGATTCGCCACCGTCTGTGTATTGGGGGATTGGAAAGGGTATATGTCGGTCTTTACACCCCCGTTGCTCCTGTTGCTAGTTCAGTGCCACTCTGTGCCGAGCGGAAACGACTTGACGACCACGACAGTTCTGCCCTGGGATCAAGATGATTCTTGCTCTTTTGCAGGTATCGTCATCATCTCTGCAAACGCCTCCACAGCTCATCCTTTCCGCGTTCCTTACAGGCCGCCCAGGGACATCTCGACCCAGTATTGTTGTACAATATGCATTTTCATCGAAGAGGATACGAACTCTTCCCCTCCAGCATTCTGGAGAGGAGCGATCGTGGGGTCCCCGCAGAAGATTGCTTGTCACCACTGCTGCACGTGACCTGCGTCACGATTTTGAAATCTTGGGTCTCGGCGACCTGCACGAGCTGGTTATTTTGATTTCGGTCTCACCCAGATTTCGGCTCTCGATCACTCTACAGACATCACGGATTACGATGGCTCCCCAGGGCGAGAGCTCCAGGCAAAATGGTGCCAAGGGGAAGGGAAAGGACAAGGGAAAAGGCGGTGGCAAGCCGCTCGTCAAGACGAACAAGGCGAAGCGTGAGAGAATCGACGCTGAACTGAGGGAGCTCCAGGCCAAGATTGACAACTACGTGAGTATCAGCTATGGAGTAAGCTCTCACGATAGCTGACTTTTTCAGGTTGCCCCCAGCGAGATCACCGAGTTCAAGCAGCTCCCTCTGTCCCAGCCGACATTGCGAGGTGCGTAGCTAGGATTGCCGAATTCGTAGCTAATGTCCAGGACTGAAGAAGGCGCACTTCGTGAACCCGACGCCGATCCAGGCCCTCTCGATTCCGCCAGCACTGAAGGGACAGGACATCATGGGCTCTGCGCGCACCGGATCCGGCAAGACGCTCGCCTTCCTCATCCCTATCCTCGAGCGCCTCTTCATCCACAAGTGGGGGCAGATGGACGGTCTTGGTGCTGTTGTCATCTCGCCGACACGAGAGCTCGCGATGCAGACGTTCAACGCCCTCTGTTCGATCGGTATGTACCACAACTTCTCGGCTGGTCTCGTCATCGGTGGCAAGCCGCTGAAGGAGGAGCGCGACCGCCTCAGCCGCATGAACATCCTTATCGCCACGCCAGGACGACTCCTGCAGCACCTTGACAGCACGGTCGGATTCGAGAGCGCGGGACTGAAGATGCTGGTGCTTGACGAGGCGGACCGACTGCTCGACATGGGTTTCCTGCCTGCTCTTCGCGCGATCGTCAAGCACTTCTCGCCTGGCGGCCACAACGCGAGCCGACAGACGCTGCTCTTCTCTGCTACGCAGAGCAAGGATCTGGCGACGCTCGCCAAACTCTCGCTTCACGACCCGCTGTACATTAACACGAACAAGCCGGGAGAGGAGGGCGTCATGCCGTCGAATTTGGAGCAGTTCTACACTGTGGTGCCGCTTGAGCGCAAGCTGGACGCGCTGTGGGGCTTCATCAAGACGCACCTGAAGATGAAGGGTGTTGTGTTCGTCACGTCGGGCAAGCAGGTGCGCTTCATCTTCGAGACGTTCCGTCGCCTGCACCCTGGTCTTCCCCTCATGCACCTGCACGGCAAGCAGAAGCAGCCGACGCGCATGGAGATCTTCGCCAAGTTCTCCAGCTCCAACTCGGCCCTTCTCATCTGTACCGACATTGCGGCTCGCGGTCTCGACTTCCCCGCCGTTGACTGGGTTGTGCAGCTCGACTGCCCCGACGACGTTGACAGCTACATCCACCGTGTCGGACGAACAGCCCGTTACCAGTCTGAGGGCAAGGGTCTCTGCATCCTCCTTCCCTCGGAGGAGGAAGGCATGCTCGCCCGCTGGGCCGAGAAGGGCATCGAGGTGAAGAAGATCAAGATCAAAGAGAGCAAGATGGGCAACCTCGAGCAGCAGATGCAGAACTTTGCGTTCAAGGAGCCTGAAATCAAGTACCTCGGTCAGAGGGTGAGTCTGGCTTCTGCACGCTGAGTACTCCATGAAAGGGTCAGCTGACATTCAGGCGTTCATCTCGTACATGCGCTCGGTCCACATCCAGAAGGACAAGTCGATCTTCAAGCTGAGCGAGCTGCCGGCCGAGGCGTATGCGGCGAGCATGGGTCTGCCGGGAGCGCCGCAGATTAAGCTGCTGGAGGGCGGCGCGGGTGCCGGACGGAAGAACCGGTCGCGCGGCAGCCAGAAGAAGGAGGAGGAAGAGGAGAAGGACGATGGTCCAATTGTCATCCACCAGAAGCTCGCGAGCGACAGCGAGGAGAGCGAGGGTGACGACGAGGACGAGTCCGAGGAGGAAGAAGAGAGCGAGGACGAGGCTGAGGACGAGGAGGGCTCCGGCTCCGAGTCGGGCAGCGAGGAGGAGAGTGGCAGCGAGTCGGACGACTCGTCGCGGCCAGTACGGACCGCGCCGGTGAGTTGCGATTGTCGGACAAACCAACTGACAGTCCCAGAAGGTGCGCACGAAGTACGACAAGATGTTCGAGCGCAAGAACCAAACCCTGCTTTCGGAGCACTACAACAAGATGGTGGAGCACGAGGACGACAGCGACGACGACGTCTTCACGCTCGCGCGGGTGAACCACGACCTGTCCGGTGGCGAGGAGTCGGACGCCGAGGAGGCTGCCGGACCCTCGGAGCCGCTCATCTCGTCCGAGGACCTGTCCAAGCGCAAGCTCAAAGCCGCCTCGACGAAGAAGGGCGTGCTCAAGTCTCGCCCCGCGCCGACAAAGCTCGTCTTCGAGGACGACGGCACGGCGCGCGACTTCTACAAGGCCGGAGCGCGTGCAGAGGAGGAGGCCGGAGGCGAGGAGGCGCGCCGCAAGTTCTTCGAGCAGGAGAAGGAGCGCATGAAGGAGGCGGACGTCATCGACCGACAGGTCGCGAGGGAGAAGAGGAGAGAACTCAAGCGCAAGCGCAAGGAGCGCGAGAGAGAGGTGAGTGCTTGTTTCTGGGTCTGTGTGTTTGTCTCGGTCTCAGTCTTGGTCTGGTTTCGGTCTGGTTTCGGTCTGGTTTCGGGTTGGGTGGGGTTCTGACTGCGCGTGTCCGCTCGCCGTGTCGAACCGGACCTCGTGACGCGAGGAACTTCCACGCGAGAGGCGATGTCAGCCGCATCGGTCGCCAGGCGATATGTCTAACCGCACTTTGGCAGTCAGTCCGTGTGTCCACGCGGCAGCCTGCCTCTCGTCATGATTGTAATCTGGGTCATCCCCGACAGCCAAAGGGTGGGCATGTCGTAACGTTGCGAGGCGGTGATCTCACGATGGGCGGGCGTGACGGCGCTGCGTCTCGTGATCGGAATCGCGTCGTTCCTTATCGTCGCGTCGCGATTAGTTGAGCGCACGAATTCCACGGGTGTGCTGGAATCGTGGAGTCAGGGGTTCCAAGCTCCCCACAAGTCCAGTGAAGCGCTACTGGGCTGGGTCTCCTGAGCTTCTTTCTACCGCAGGCACGTTCTGCCGCAGGAACAACTCGTTCGAGAGCGCGGCAAGGATTGTTCCGATGTCGAAAGAGCACATGACCATGAAGCACAGAAGAAGCGTTATGGGAATCACCGCCCAGCCCTGGCGCGTTCCTAACGTTCCTCGTGAACTTGCTCGCTGTGGTTCGGTTCGGTCAGTACCTCATGTGTCCAAGAATGAGCTTGACATTCGGTACCTTCTCGGGACCCCACCACCGAAGCTTTCATCGCGTCGCCGAGCTGTAGTTGGGCAGGCCATGTGATGCGCTCACCAGTGCCGTATCGACGTGGCGGAGTCCTGTGCTCCGTTGCACCGTTGCGGTATCGGTGACTTGCACGGCAGAAGCAAAGCAGGGCTCGGCGACCTAGTGACCGAGTTGGAGTGGGAGCGCACAGTCCGCCACGCGCCTGCTTTAATGAACTCGGTCTACCCTGAGCTCGCCTTTGACTTCTCGTTATCGTGTCCTTCATCTCGGTTGCTGCGGCGATCACAAAAGTACGAGAGTTTTCATTTCGGATGCTCTTCCCTTAAGTCGCACCTGGATTCCATTTGGGATGCTTCCCAAGTTTGAAAAGCGGGGCCTTAATCTGGCGTTGCGTCCTGTTCGTCCTCGCTTCGGTGCTCTAGCGAACTGAGCAATGGCTAGCATGGCCTATTCTGAGAACGGAGTGTGCCTGCGGCGGAAAGCTTTCCGAGCCGAAGAGATGAGCGGGCAGAGCTCCTCCTTTCGATTGCCAGACCCGTGCCGGACGACGTGCCGGACGACAGGCCGGAGCATACCCGGCCCCTCTCCTCCACCACCCTTTCCATCCAGACCCAGTCGCGAGACCGAGATTCAGACGCAGTACCCAGACACGTCCCAGCTGCGAAAATGCGTCTCAGCTAACACCCAGGCCATGCGCGAGTACATGGACGATGCGGGCGAGTTCAGCGACGAGGACGGAGCTCCCATGGCGTACATCGGCTCTCCTTCGCGCTCACCCTCGCGGTCACCTTCGCCGGAACCCGAGCGCCGCACGAAGAAGTCGAAGTCATCGAAGCCCGCCCCGGCCGCCGATATCGAGGACGAGGAGGCGCTGGCTCTGCGCTTGCTGCAGGGCAACTAGACCCGTCTCGCCGGGCTCGCCGGGCAGAGAGGACCGAGAGGACCCGGCCGGACCGAGCGGGCCGCGCATACTCCGGCGAGGAGTGGGTAGATATCAGGGGTGCCAGTATAGACATAGAGCACATTATGCATTCATCATCATCGGAATACTGTTGGGACAGGTTGCTCGCGCGTATCGCTCGGTACGCGGTATGCAGTGATCACATTCCGCAACGTCTTTGCTGTGAGTTGGGCGAGGAAGGGCGAGCTGGATATCCGACGATCACAATGGACTTGACGCAGCAACGCAGCACCACTGACGCAGCACTGAGATGTGGACGGGACATGGGCATTGAGTGCTGGAACACATTGCTCGTTTGAGCGCTTCGAGAAGCCATTCACTGGAGCGTCTCGACTGTCTCGATGCCATTCATCACGGCCTCCCAGAAGCATTCGATATGCGACACAACGGCCCGGAGGCGTGCGTTTGCTCCACAAGCACCCCGAAAGAACCATTCAACGAACCCGGCGGCATTGTCTCTGACTGGTGTATGACGACATACACCCCATTCAACCTTGGCCCCGTCTCGTGCGGCTGAAACATTTGCTCGTTTGGCATCGTGGCAGAAAATGACATAGGTCCCATTTGTGAAACCGCTATTGACAACGTAAACTTGGACAGAGGTGTGTGTATGTGGGTGTGGATATGCGATTATGCTTTGTGTGCTAGTGTAACAGAGTGTGAGTGCGGACAGGGGGTATGAGTTGCTGCCGTCGGAGCGGCGCGGCGCGGAGGTGGCAGGAGGGGGCTCGTACATGACATAGTACTGCGTTCGGCGCGGGGTCTCGTGGGGGTAACTCGGTCGTAATTGTTCGTACGTTCGTATTCGTCATGAACGTTGTCCGTAAAGTGTCAAGTGTCAGGTGATGATGGGAGGCTTGCGGTCGTGGCGTCGTTCCATCGTTCCGTCGGGACCACTTGGATGCGGCCGATAAGCCTCTCGCTCAGCGAGGGCGCATCAGCTGCACACATGCACACATGACGCGCATGATTCATCATGACGCAAGACACACAACAAACTGCAGCACATGTTGTAAACCCGGCGTGCAGTCGGCGTGTAGTCTTTGTGCATGGGAAGACTGCGGTGTGGGTCCGTTTCGCTGGATCGGGCACCGTAATGCAGGAACGGCAGGGTTGGACGACAGGAACGCGCGGGGGTTCGATTGATGGTGACATTTGCTGATCGGTGGCGGCGGAGGCAAGGACGTTAGGACTCCGGGAACGATGATCGGTGGGTATACCGTGGTGCCGAGTTTGATCGCGGGCTCGGCGTGGCGGGGCTGGTAGGGATGCCGGCCGAGGTATGCCGGTGCGGAGCAGAGGAGGAGGAGGCGTGGCAAGGTTGTGCATTCCGCAGCACTGTTGTGTGCAGTGTTGGGAATACGCATGGGAAACATGTCCACAATGCTCGCACTCACGCGGTCCACTCCACCGTGCGGATCGTCATGACACTGGCGGCTGGGCGGAGGGCGCGCACGTTGGCCGTGCTCGGTGACGGCGGGTCGCTGAGCCCGCGCTCCCGCTGCCGCTTGGCCTCCTGCTTGAGCGCGAAAGGGTTGCCATCGCTGCCGAGAGAGCCAGAGGTGCGCTGCATCGCGACGCCGCCTATCGGCACTGCTCGTCCTCTCGACATGATGAAGGCGGGCGGTGTCGGTGACGGCGAAGGCTCGCGCGAGTCGGGAGACAGCGGGAGAGCAGACGGAGTCGGCGGCAACGGCGTACTTTGCGCGCTCGAGAGGGAAGAGGTGTCCGAGTCGGAGTCAAACTCTAATGCTGCACTGTGGGAAGCGGGCAGCCGCCGCGGGACAGTCGATGAAGAGCACAGAGGGGTCGACACGTACCGCCGCATGCTTGTTGAGGTTGGGGCGAGACGGCGCGTCGCGCCCAGCGGGGTGAGGTCGAGGTAGCTCGAGGAGAAGAGGGGAGGGCGCGGGGTGGCAATGTCTGCCGGCATCGCGATCTGCTGGTCGCTGGTGGTGGAGGTGTGGTGGTAGTGGTGGTCAAAGCGGAGGGCGAGTACAAGTGAGGAAAGGTGCGTTATGCGGCAAGCATGAGCTCTTCCAAGCTAGTCGAATGGCGTCTGTGCGCAATGTAATGTGTGAACGGATAGAGACAAGAGTGAGAGGAGGAGTAGTGAGAAAGAGACGACAGAAGGGGGGTGTGACATCTGGCGTGTCTTGGGATGTGCACGGTTTTGTGGGATGTAGGCTGGGTGCACTGGCTGGCGGTGGCGGGGTGTGGTGGTAGAAACAAACGCGGGATGTAACTGCAGGGGGAGGGACGAATGCTCGACCCGCCTGAATTGTCTGCCTTCCAACTGTTCCGTCACTCCCCTTGCTCTAGTCACGAGGTCGCTCGGCCTGTCCGTCGCGCATAAGTCCTGCCCTGTACCAAGTTGTACCTGCATGCAGCGCAGCGAACGATCAAAGAACGCCAGTACCTCGCTGTACCTCGCAGCGACCTACAATTGCCCTGCGCCGCGCGCGCCGCCGTACCGTGCCGTGCGTGCGGGGCCGTCCAACCGATCCTCCTGATCCCAGGTTTCTGGTCCACAGTGTAAAGAGTCCCCTCGTCTCACTCGAGTCTCACGGACGACTAAGATAGACCCACTCCTCGGCGTATCCGCAGCTCGCAGTGCGCAGTGGGCAACAGTGCCGGCAGGTGCACGGCGGTGACCACTGTAGGCAGTGCTCGGCGGAAGACCGGCAGAACTGGCATGGGTCCCCACGCCGTGCACGCCGTCGACCATTACGCTTTTGACGCCACCGGAGATCCCAAAAGAGAGTGGACTAGCACTAACCTTGATCGTTCACTAGTGCACCCTGGCTCAGTGCACCCCGGTTAATTCCACCCTACGCTCATTCGGTGGTGCCCCTCAGTCTGCGCTTGGCGGGCAGGACAGGATCCATGAACGTGCAACAAGGTGTAAGCTGTGCCGACCTCGGTCCGCTTGGAGTGGGCAGGGGGCATGCGGGTATAGACACACCGCTCTCATCTCTGCCAGCAGAGTTAGTAGAGTTACAGTTCACGCGGGGGGGTGTGGAATGCAGGAACGGCTGGAACGAGAGTACGACCCAGGCACGGCTTGGCCTTGCACTCATGCATCTCTGCAGTGCTCGGCGGGGAAGACATTCTCGTAACCCCACCCACTATACTGGTACCCGCTCGTGGTCAGGTACGGCGGTACGCTCACTCTTTCAAGTCCTCATTACTACTTCGCGCTGGACAGAGGTGCCTGAAGCGCCGAAGCGCCCGCAGCGCTCAGCGATGTCCTGACGAGATCGCGACGAGTGAACGACGAAAGAGATTGGAGAGCTTACTCGGCCCCAGCCCAGAATGAAGAACATGACTCGCAGAGTCCCTAATACTCTCCAACCCTAACCTCCAACTGATCGATAAGAACATGAATAATGCCTCATGCCCATCTCTCATGTGTCGCAGGAACGCTCAAACTGTCCGCATTCATGAAACGGCGTCTGGACGTGCGTACCCTACACTTCTACCCTACCCAGCGATCTGGAGATCACCATGGAGCCGGTCGTACTGGGCGTTCGGTGAGACGTCGGTGAGACACGGACTGAATACTCGGCTGAGCAGGGGACGGTCACCGCACGGCTCTGTGCCATGCGCCGATGCGCCGATGGGACCGATACACGATCGCTCCGACTGCGGTGGCGTCGATGGCGCCTACATGGCGTTCTTGCACGTCCTGTCCCTAAGGCTCCTGGGTCTTGCGGCGGCTGACTTTGTCTTTTTCCCCGGTATCCCCTTGCTCCACTCTGGTCCCCAAGCCACAACTCCACGACTTGCTGTACATAAGCACATATGCACACAGGCACAACACACATATGGGGATGATCGTGCGAGGCTGAGACATACGAGCAGCTGGGAGGAGTGGGTGAGTCGCCTACTGCGAGGAGTGACTGACCCACGACACCCCCTGGTCTTCTGACAGACGCCCTTGTCACGCTCAGAGGACGCGACTGTCTTCACACTTGGCCGCGCCTGGTCAGCCTGGTCAGCTGTCTGCCGCGTCGGCTGCCAAGACGTTGCGTCATCGTTACGCTCTACCGCATTGTCAGTAGCGGGACCCAGTACCCAGAGCCGGCGATCGTCCCAGCCAACTTGGAAGGTGTGTCCGTGTGATGGAGGAAAGCTGGTAACGGCCGCGGAGACTGGGCGTTGGGCGATGATGGAGAGAAGCAAGGGGAGTGTACCGCGGAAACCCAAAAGTCTACCAATGTTAGCTGAACCAGAGCACCGGCCCGTCGCCCGTTGTGCCCGTCACGCTGCGACTACAGAATTGGGACAGCAGCATCCCTCGTCCCAAGACACAGAAGAGACGAGGACGGGGAGGTGCGGTTATGCAGTTCGATAGCGTTACACACTGCAATGTTTTCCTCTTCCTCGTCGGTCAGAACGATGCAAACATCGCGATCTGGGACAGATATGAAGGGGACGACGTAACAACGACGCGAGTGGCCGTGCATCTGGAACCAAGTTTGCTTGTTCGGCTCCAAACTTATCGAGTGATTGCCGGTTGCCAAGGCTGCGTACCCCCGCCAAATCGCATACGGACCTTCCTGGCCTTCCTACCACGATTGCAGAGGACATGGCAGTGAGATCTTGCAATGCTATTGCTCGATTCAGGCGTGTCCGAGCAGACACGGCGATGAGGACAGACACGGCGCAACATGTCCGTCTCGGTGTCTGCTGGTGAGGCTGAGATGTAGTCCGCGGTCCGAGTGAAAGTTAAGCACTTGCCGAGCAAGGTTCGTTCCGTCCTGCTTCCACACTGCTTCCACTCTTGTTTGGGAATAGGCAGGCATGCGTAGTGGAGTACGCAAGCCAGTGTGTAACTCTGTGCAACATGAGTCGATCGAACCTCTCCTCGATCCACCCTCTGCGTGGAAGCTCTAATGAAGCGATGCATGCGTACGTCTAGGACATGGGTGCTTGTCGTGTGCAAGCATATGCGGCCCACTACTCTATCCACGGCGCTCGTGGACTGCACTCCCGTGCTGATGTAGAGTGGCTCACTTCCGCCTCGTCAACCGCGAAAGCGTCACGCCCTCACGGTTATACCGCTCCTTCTCTCCGGGCTTGTCGTCCTCGACGGGCGCCGAGTCAAAGTGTTTCCGGAGCAGGGCGAAGAACCGCTTGTCCGCCTGTGGTTGTCAGTACAAACTCTCCGTTACCGCTCTGCTGTCCCTCGTCAGTGAAGATGTGGTCCCGGTTTCGGGCTGAGTCGAGGGTGTTGGTGCCGCGGTAGATGGCATATCGGCTGTCCATGAGATGGGCGGCGTGACATTGCTCCACCGCCCAGCCGTACACGACAGACCCGACGCATCGACCCAGTCCCGTCGTCACGACCAAGTTGGGACGGTCCAAGCCCTGCGGCATGGATGACTTACCTTTCTCCGCTTCTTCCAGCAGAAGAGAATCTCAATATCCTTGCCCACCGGCGCGAGGTCGCACAGCGTCTGGACAAGAAGGGGGAACGCCGGCTGTAGGTCGTTAGCGCTCGTTTCTTACAGACAGTCCGATGACCGGCATGACCGATGCGGCTGTAGGGCTAGTCCAAGGTCCCGTGCTTGGCACGGAGGAGACATCGGCGTGTTTGTCGAACAGTCAGACAGAACGACAGTGGCGCCAGCTCACGCGAGTGAACGCCGACCGAGTGAGAGCCGTGCCGTGCCCGTCGGCCGCTCGCGCGATCTCATCGGATGTGCTCGGCCAACATGAGCAGAGACTGGGCGCCTAGGCCCGGTCGGAGCAGCGCGCCGAGCGACAGAATGATGGAGAGAGATCCCTCATTCACACACCGTCTCGAGTCATAGCCGCCTCAGCCGTCCGATCGTGCCCCAGCCGGACGCTCCAGCCATAGCAACCGTAGCTCTACCGGGTTCTGAAGTAGATCGCCGCATATCGCAGATCCGCAATCATTTCCGCAATGGCACCACGGACATACCGGGCGCCGCATCATTCAGCCCGCCGCACCGAGCGCCAAAGCCGGACACGGAAGCGATCACCAAGTCTCGGCCAAGGTCGCGCGCCGCATGCAATCGAGATCTCGACGACCAGATCTGGAGATAACGATAGAAGACTTACCTCGAAGTACACGCAGTCAGCTGCCAGGACCACGTCCACCTCGGCCGGCAAGTCGGCAGGGATCGGCTCGCCCCAACTCAGCTCCGCGACGTGGCAGTTGCGCGAGCACTCGTTCAAGTCCGTATTGGCACGCATCAGGTCGAGCAGAATGCTGTTTGTCAGCTACTCTTCTTTGCCGTCTCTCTCCCCAGAGTCGCTTCACGACAAAGCTTACTCACTCCTGATCGGTGACCCAGACTTCAGACGTCGGCTCGAGCATCGCAGCAACAATGCCGACAAGACCAGTGCCAGAACCAAGCTCGAGCACCTTCTTGCCGGCGAGCTTGCAGGGGTCGATCGCATGTCGGTACGCGATGTAGCGGGACAGGACCTGTCTGTCAGTAATTCGCGCTGCGTGTGCGGAGCCATGATTGCCTGGTGTCCGTGCTTGCAGTCCGGGCTGTATTTTTGGGGCCGAGACTGTTGACAGAGTGCGGCGCGGCGTGGCGCACAGACAGTCCGGACGATGAGCAGGAACCGCGGTTCGGCCCGGCGGCTTGCGTTGAGGAAGGCACTCACCTCTCCAGCCGGCCAGGCGATACCGCCGCAACCCGGTCCGGCGTCGACCTTGAGCCTCACGTCCCGGACGCCGGGGACGGCGAGGGAAGTCTCGGCATTCTCCTCCGTCGTGCGCTCACGGGGCGGGGCGATGTGCTCAAAACTAGGGAGGGCAACCTGGGAGTCGGTCGAGGAGATGGAGGACGTAGATCCGGAGCGTTCCCTTGTTATCGTTGTCGTCGTCATGTTTGTTGTCAGTGATGGAGAGAAGAGGAAGGGAAGGACAGAGCTCGTCATCAACCACGACGACCACTCGCTCCCGTCCACCGTATCTGCGCTGGGCAGGCCATTGAGCCCAGGCCGGCCCAGGACAGCCTGCAGCCCAACTTTTCTGGGCTGTTCAGGGTCGCGAGGGACTATCTATGAGGACAAATAACATCAGCATGCCATATCGGTGGAGGCCGCGTGGTTATTCACGTGACTTGCCATGGTGCCCCGCAATCGCGTTGCTAGGCGGGCCAAGTCCATAGAGAGGCTACGGCGATCTGCGACAGGCGAAAGGCAGGCGGAGCGATCGGCGGCGAGCTGTTGACTCAACCATCACCACCATCTGTCTTCCTCGACCTCCTCTTCGTCAGCTAACACGCTAACGACATCGAAATCTCGCCGCCACCAGCCTGGTAACAGCGACGGGACGCTCATGAGGAACCTCAAGAAGTTCGGCGGCGCAAAGGCAGCAGCGGCGCCCAAGTGGAAGCCGGACTGGGACTGGGTCGCCGATGTCAAGGATCCAAAGGACATTACGCCCGAGCTGCGCCGCCGTGCAGCTGGGCTTGCGGATGTCCCACCATGTCCTCTGCCGACAGTACGCTGGGCTTCTCGCCAGCCATCCACGAATGGCGCAAGCAGCAGCACATCGAGCAAGCAGAACGGTGTGATAGACGTCGATGACGATGAGGGAGAAGGCAGCTCAGCCGTGTCTATCGTTTCACCAAAATCGAATGGACCAGCATGTACCGCCAAGCGCTGCAAGAGCTCGCCACGGTGCTATAACAATCTTGGCTTTGAGAAGGTAAGCGTGTTATGGTGTGCATTTGAGCTGACGAGCAGTGGGCGGAGAAAGATGCCAAGGAGAAGTACGTTGAGAACAATGCGGGCGAAGAGCTCGAGTTCCGCGACGGACCTGCCGGACTGTGTAACTATGGCGCTACGTGCTATGTGAGTTGAATACTCCACTGCCAAAGCTGACTAACAGGCGAACGCGTTCCTGCAGCTGTGGTTTAACAACGTCGCCTTCCGGAACGGTGTGTACGAGGCGGCGGGCGAGCAGGGGACACTGCATTGCCTGGCGTCTGTCTTCGGACGGCTTCAGATATCGCGCCGCCCTGTCGTCGATCCTGGACCGCTCATCGAGGCATTGCGCCTGAACAAGGGCGACCAGCAGGATGCTGCCGAGTACGTAGTTTATGCTTCCATAGCCCTGAAAGCTAACAAAGCAGGTTCTCAAAACTCTTCATGACGCTTCTCAGCGATGAGTTCACACGGCGGAACCCTCAAGGAAACCTCGTGAAGGACCTGTTCGAGGGCGAGATGGAGTACTGCACGCGCTGTGACACCTGTGGCTACGAGTCGAAGACTAGCGGTACGCTGGGCAACGAAAGAAGACAGCTGACCACAGCACCGTTCCTCGAGCTCGAGATTAGCCTGAAAGATAAAGCGTCCTTGGAGAGCAGGATCGATCACATGCTGCAGTCTGAGCGCCTCGACGGCGACAACAAGTACAGCTGCCCTCGATGTAACTACAAGCTGCGACCAGCGATTCGGTCCACGTCATTGAGGAAGCTTCCGCCCTTCCTTCACTTCTCGTTGATGCGATTTGTGTACGACCCCCGCCAGGACTCGCGCAAGAAGACGAAGCATTCGATCACATACCCGCGCAAGCTCCAACTCAGCGACACGTGGTACGAGCTCGTCGGCGTCGTGACGCATGAAGGTGCAAGTGTAGGTCGCAGCGTGCTCACTGATACCTGACGTCAGGCTTTCCATGGTCACTTCACCTGCGAAGTGTATGATGAGGAGTCGAAGCAGTTCTTCTTCTACTCGGATGAACAGGTCAAGCGGGTAGCGGACGGCGAGGGCCGTCCCAAGAAGCGCATCAAGCTCGAGACTGATGACGATACTGAGTCATCTCGAGATGCGTACATGCTTGTGTACCGGAAAATGGGCGAGCCGCTTGCCACCGCTCAAGATCCCCCACCGTCTGTGGTAGAAGCCATCGAAGCCGACAACGTTGCTCTTGCAGCTGAGATCGACGGTCGCGTGAATAAGACCTCGGAGCTGGCGTCGCAGTTCGACTCTGTGCAGGCGGAGAAGCTCGCTGTCCTGAGCGAGATCGACGGGGTGAGCTGACGCGGCTGCGATGGGGTGAATAGCTGACCTCAGGGCGACTGTATTATACCAAGGGACGATTTGAAGACATGGATCGAGTCACCCGAGCTAGCTACCGCTTGGAAGGGCTTCGAGGAAGTCATGTGCAAGCATCAGAGGATTGATCCAGAGAAGACGAAGGACCTGCGGCTCGTGTCCCGCTCAGCGTTCGATCGTATCAAGCAGGTGAATCCCGACATCCCAGAAGTCGACGTTTGCGCAACCTGCGTCGAGGCTGAGTTTACTCGCCGCACGCAGCGGTCGAACAAGGAGGAGCAGGTCAAAGCGTTCGAGGAGCTCAACTCTTCGTCTGGTGATCAAGACTACCTGCTTCCCAGAGCTTGGCTGAAAGAGTGGAAAGGAAAGAAGGGTATCGATGTTCCGCCGACGGATCCCGACTACGACCTGCGCTGCGAGCATGGGCAGTTGTACGTCCCCCACACAAGCCTCGTCTCGAACGTCACCGCCGAGGCAGTAGCGTTGCTGCAATCGATCTTCGGCGACTTTCCCGTCTTCACTGATAACGACGTACAATGCGACGAGTGTGCGGTGTCAGAGGCACAAAAGCAGTCCGACTACAATGAATGGCGTGCTCGCGCTGCGGACGAGAAGAAGCTGGCGAAGAACCAACTCAACATCACCCAAATCCTCGGAATCGACAACTACCTCCTGCCTAAGAAGTTCTTCGCGGAGTGGGAGGCGTGGATGCGCGGGAAGGGTGCCGATCGCCCCGAAGGGCTCAGCATGGAATACTGTCCCCACGGGCTGCTTGATTTCGATCCCCAGATGGAGCACTCGAACTACATCACCGCAGCGGGCTGGAATGAGCTGTGCAGATTGTGAGTAGCTCAACAGTGCTTGGCCAGGCTAACGCACAGATACGACCACGACCCTTCAGACGCCGTGAAAGTGCAGTTCTCCGCCTCCCCCGAGGAAGGGAAGAAGTGCTCCGTAACGAGAGTGAGCAAGGGGACGTGTAAGGAGTGCCTGCGCACACGCCTGCTGGACTTTGAGTCAATGTGGCTCCCCATCGTGCAGGGCAAGGATACCGTGCCAGCCGAGAGCAAGAACAAGCGACGCGCCAGCGCCAGGTCGAAACAGATGTACGTCGACGTCGAGAAGGGGACGGCGATCAAGGACATCCGACTGCACATCTACGAGCAGTGGAAGATTTCGCCGTTGTCGCAGCGGTTGTTCCTGCGCGGCAACGAGGTCGACGCCAGCGATACGGTAGAGAGCCTCCGGATTGTGGAGGGCGACTGGCTCTGCCTCGAGGAGATTGAGGAGGCGGACGACTTTGGCCCAGAGGGTGGAACGGAAGGATTCGGCGGGACTGCCCTTATTGGGCGTAAGGGTGAGCTCACGACAGGTGAGAAAGCTGACAGCAGCATGCCCCGCGTGTACATACTCAAACGAGCCAATGCACCTTCAGTGCGCAATGTGTGAAACGACGTTGTTGTAAATGTGTTGTATGCATCAAGCGAAGATAATGTACATAACAAAAAGTAAATCGATCTAGTTCTGCTGTCCACTGCTGCCAGAAGGTCCACCAACGGGCAAGTCAGCCAGGTCGACCATGCCCGCCGCGACAGCCTGCGCCCATACCTCGCGGAACTCGTCCAGATTCCGTCCCTCGGAGAGTTCGATCATCTCGACCGGCATCATGTTCGTGCTGAACGTGGGCTGGTTGCGGATGGCGTCGGGGTGTCCAGCAGAGTCAATCACGCGGAGAACGGGGAGCTGCTCGACGCCGTCACCGCCTTCCCGCGACTTCTGGAGAATGTCCCGAATGTCCTCGTACGTGAAGAGCAGCGCGTCCGTCGTGGACCGGTACGGTTGGAAGTCCATGAGAACGAAGCGGTCACCCTCGTACTGGTATCCGTACCCGAGGGCGCCCTTCGTATCGACGTAAATGTCGAACACGTACGAGGCGTTGTCTGGTGGAGTCGTGCTGGTCGAGCTTGAAGAGCCAGCAGCGATGGGCGGGTTGGACGCGAGCTCGTCCTCGAAGAACTCCCTGATGCCGCGGCGCAGCTTGTCCTGCGTCTTCTCGTCTTGCAGGTGGTCGTAAAAGTTGAGATCGCGCTGCGTGATACCAACAAGCACGCCGTCGCGCACAAAACACCGGAACTCGAGCGCCGGGTTCAGGTCGGAGATGTACTTCCGCAATACGAGCTCGAGGGGCACGGCGGCCCTCTGCTGCTCCTTCTCCTCCTCGGTGGCGGTCCACGGATTCGGGGCGTCCTCGCAGCCCTCGTACAGTCGCTCAGGCTCGAGATCGTGGTGAATCAGGTTTGAGCTCTTCAGGAACAAGTAGACATCGGAGGCACGTTGGCACACCAGAGGGCCGCTCGATGTCTGTAGCACGAAGGCGGCGTCCCGGGGTGCCGTCAGGTTAAGCTTGGGGAAAACCTGGGGATATTTCAGCAGGACCTCATTGATCGCGTTGTTCAGTGCCGGAAGGTGGTACTCTGGCGCAGCTTCGTCTTCGTCATCTCCCTTGGCCTCGCTCGAGTTGCCACCCGCTGCCGGCGTTGGCTGAGAAGGAGCAGGCGTCTGCGGAGCGGAGGAGGGGGCAGCCTCGCTGCCAACAGGGAGGAAGATGGAGTCTGAGTCAAGCCACTAACTTTCAGCTGAATTCAAAAGATGGCAAGCTTACGTGCAGGAAGGCATCACCCTCTCCGAGTTTCCGGATATCGATGACGGAAGACGGCACGGTCAAATCCTCGAAGGTGTCGTACCAGTGGGAGAGGCGGCAGGCATCGACATCTGCCTTCTTCAGCGTCGGAAACACAGGCAGGCTGTCGGAAACAGGAGCCGGCATTGTTCTTCTTGTGCTTTGGGTGATGTTGAGTCAGCAGGAGCAGCGCGCTCGAACTTTGGAACCTGGTAGACATTTGGAGTGGAGGTCGGCCTCCACCCCCGACGTGAGCCTGGCACTTTGGCTTGCTGCACGTGGTCGAAGGGCGGCGTGTCAGGTAGATTTTGCGGGGAAGACGCACCTCCACCTTAAATTTCTGGTGATCTCGGGCGACCTCAGCAACGACAACAACAACAGCGGATACGATGGGCCGGTTCGACGCGCACGACCATCTCGTGAAGCAGGGCTGGAAGGGAAAGGGCACTGGTAAGTACACAATTCCTCTTCCACCTTTCCTCACTTGCTGTCATCTCCTTGCAGCTGAGTGCTCCTCGACCTGAAGCTGACGCCCAGCCCTCAAGAACGGCCACCTCACGCGCCCTATCCCTGTCGTGCAGAAGAAGACCCTCTCCGGCATCGGCAAGGATCGAGACGAGTCCATTCCCTTCTGGGACCACATCTTCGCCTCGACCGCTGCCTCTATTGCTTCCAGCGCCAATGGCACGCCCTCCGCCTCAGGCGCCTCCACGCCGCAAGCCGCTCCGAAACCGAAACCGGCCAGCACCATGAGCATCGCAGCCAGGAGCTCGAAGGAGATCGCCAAGCGGAAACTGTATTCGGGCTTCTTCCGGGGGAAAACGTTTTCGGAGGACAACTCGGAGGCTGAGGCGTCGGACCCGGAGACCAAGGTGACGGTGACGAAGACGACGATCGAGACGGTGCAGGTTCAGCCGGCTGCTCCCTCGTCCTCCACCTCGAGTTCGAGCGAGAAGAAGGAGAAGTCCGACAAGAAGGAGAAAAAGGACAAGAAGGACAAGTCTGAGAAGAAGGACAAGGAGAGCAAGAAGCGGAAACGATCGTCTGAGGACAAGTCCAAGACGGTCGAGGACAAGGAGGCGCGCCGTCTCCGCCGCCGGCTGCGGAAGGAGGAGAAGGAGCTCTCAGCTGCCCGGCGAGCACTCCGCAAGGCCGAGAAGGAGGAGCGTGCGGCGCTGAAGGCGGAGCGCAAGGCTCTGAAGGCTGAGCGGGCGGCTATGAAGGCGGAGCTGGCGAGTGAGAAGGAGAAGGAGAAGGAGGCCAAGGCGAGAAGGAAGGCGGAGAAGGCTGCCAGGAAAGTGGGCAAGGTGGAGAAGGAGGCGAAGTAAATGGGAACGACATAGACCGGGCACTTTCCACAGACTGTACCACACCTACAACACATCTAGCATTTCTTGCATGTACTACTAGCTGCACGCTGTCGCACCGCTACTCCCAGCTGATGGCCATGGGAAGCCACAACGGTAGTTGCGCAACTCGCACTCGACTCTGCGCTAAACTGCGCTGAATGCGTCGTCTTTGCAGCTCGAGACCAAAGAGTACATGTACAAATCCAAGAGTCACTGTCCATTTATCTATCAGTACACCGAGTGTCCTAATGTGAAACGAGGGCGTTCGCGACGCCTCTCCGTTCCGTCGGCGGCGACGGCGAGGGGCTATTGAACCTCTCTTGGCGCTTCAGCGCCTGCTTCGCGGGAAGCTGTAAGCCTTTCAGGCCGGAATGCAGGCTCGTTGTGCTCGCCGAGGCGGAGGGCGAGGCCGACCGTGCTTGTGCCGGGGGAACGGGCGCAGACAGGTCCTCACTACTGCTGGCGTAGTCGTTGTAGCTCGTCGAGTAGTACGTCGGCCCAGGGGTGCTGAACGACGACGCGCCAAACGACGTGCCGTATGACGTGCCGCCGCTGTAAGCTGAGGCGCCACCGACGGAAGCCCCGCCGAAGCTGGACGCATGGCCCGCGTGTCCGCTGTAGCTGGCGCCGAAACCGCCATAACTAGACCCGGCGCCGTGACTTGACGCCGCATACGTTGTTGTGCCGGTGGGGGCGGGGACGAGGGCTGGCGTACTCTGCGTCGGCCGCATAGAGGAGACCTGGATGAGGATCGCGCACTCGCGTGTCGCCTGCGTGAGGCGGCGCATACCCTGTCGCATGCCTGTGCTGAAGGTGTGCTGTGCTGAGAGCGCCTTGATGAGACCGGTGACCTTGACGACATTGCGGATGAACGCCTGCGCATCGTCCGGCAGCGTCGTGTGCGCATACGCGAAGGGGTTCGCGCGCAACGCCATCAAGCTCTCGCGAAGGGCCGTCGTCACCTGCTCAGCGACGCTGAGAAGGTGCACGAGGTCACCGTACTCCTTTGGCGGGATTGTGGGGGGCCGCCGCCGATCGTCCGTCAACAGACTGAGTCCAAGACGACCAGAAATGCTGCTGCTCGCGCTGTCGCCGCGCATGTGGCCCGGCTGAGAGTCATATGATGACGACGCGCCAATCTCTTCCGCCAATCGGAGCCAAACACTGAACCCAATCTCGGTCGCAGTCTCGAGCACGTCGAGCAGATCGTCGTCGAATAGCGTCGCTGACGCCGGCGTCGGTGGTCGCACGTCGACAGACAGGTTCCGCTGCCCACCGGGCGCACTCAGGTACGAAGAGCCGGCACTACTGGACTGCCCGTGGCGAGAGCGCGGTTGGCTCGGGAGCAAGGGCAGGTGCTGCCGCCCAGCGAAAGACGGCGTGCCCTCAGCCGGCTGCTCCGGCTGGGCCGCAAGGGGGAATGGTGGCGGTGACGGACCAGTGTCCACGCCCTCGAGGTCTTCGTGAATCGTCGGGTCCGGCCACTCTGTTCGCGTGAAGCCGAGCGGCGAGCCCATCATCATGCCTCGCTCTACGTCCTGCGTCGAGAACGAGCCGGCGTGCCGCCTATTGCCGCGAGATCGCGGTGACGTCGTAGTGGAAGCCGTGAGATCCCGGCGCACGACCCGCTCGGGTGACTGTCCCTGTCCGAGCGAGGGCGTGCGTGAGTGCGTCTGCGACTGCGACTGGGAGTGAATGTGCGTCGGGAACGGTACCTGTTCACGGGGCTTCGGCTCACTCCGCTCCAGAATGGGCGAAACGGGCGTTCGCCCAGTCATGCTTGACGCTTTGCTCATCGGCGGTGCTCGCAAGCTTTCCGGCAGCAGCAGGGTCCGCACGTCAGCCAACAGGGGTACCATGCTCTTCCACGACATGGCGACCTCAGCCATGCCGCCGTAAATGCTGAGCAGCAGCTGGCGGGTGTAGCGCACATCGGCGTCGCGGAATGCGGGCGTCTGTAGTCGCACAACGGCAACGATCTTGCCGAACACGGCGACGCTCTCCTTGGCAGCGCCTATGACCCCACGGACTGCGGAAGTAGACGGCGCAGAACGGCGTGACGTCGAGTCAAAGCGGTCCAGAGCGTTGATCAGAGTCGCTAGGTACATCCCTGCCGGCTCGAGCACACGGGAGAACACACCTGCAACCCTGTCGCTGACCGCAAAGTTCAGGTACTGCCGCAATGCTCCGTGGAGCTGCGTCAGAGCGAACAGCAGACCACGAATAGCGTCAATGAACATGAGCAGAGAGGGCGAGACGGCCTTGGAGATGGTCGAAGGAGGAAGCATGCTGACTCGCCGGAAGTATGAGTTGCGCGACTCGTCGATTGTCGGTCCGTCCTGGCTCTCGCGACGAACATCCATCTTGACGAGCGCTTCGTGCCGCGGTCGGAGAGCCTCGATTGAGCTCATCTTTTGCAGTCCTCTCCGCTCAGGAGCCAGCGAATCCTTTAGGGCTGTTATTCGGTTGATGCCCATGCCAAGTGGTCGCACCTCGTCCTTCGCCTCGCCTCGTCTCTCCTCGATGATTTTGGCGTGACTTTGCCGGAGATCGGGGAGAGACTTTTTCGCCTGCAGTGTTCCGCTCATACGTTGCGTTGCAGTGTAACTGGCGCCTCGGGCGTGTCCACTGGGCAAAGGCTGAACAATTTGCGGTTTCGGGACGACGGGCAGCCCAGACGATGAAGAAGAGGTGGACGCCGAAACAGGTGGAGTCGAGGACGACGACACGGAGCGGTCGTGGGCGAGAGCGTGCGATGGTAGTGAGAGAGTGGAGGCGTTTGCAGTTGCCGCGTTGGTGGTGTTGACAAGCGAGTCCTCAGACACAGTGGCGGCACGGACCCGCTGCCCCCATGGTATCGGCTTGACCGGAGAGAATGGTGACGCCTCGCGCTCTCGCGGCTCGCGCGTTTCCGCATCGTCCATCCTGTTCGCGGGTTGCGACGTGGTTGATTCGAACGATTCATTGTGCTCCGGCTCGGCGGCTGTTTCATTCGGTTCCTCTCTGCAGCGCGTCAGAACCCGTTTCAGCCCGTCTGCCCGTCTGACTCACTCCGATGCGAGATATGTGTCGTCCTCGACCCGTGCGCGTTCACGCTCACGTTCCGAGAATCGGGTCGTGTCGCCAACCTGCTCCTGGAGCCATCGCTTCATGTTCTGGATCCACGGCCGCAGATCCTCGTCGCGTTTCGGCTTATCCTTATTGTTCGGGTCATGTCGCCCCTTCGCGTCGGTCTCGGCGAGCGGGCCGAGAACGTCACGCGGCGGCCACTGGATCGGGTTCTGATCAACCTTGAAGACCTTGAGCTTGTCGAAGGCAATGAGGTAGGTCGGGAGCGTTACGATGTGATTATCGGATAATGAGAGCACCTTGAGCGCAGCTAGTCGACCAGGAGACTCGGGGAGTGTGGTCAGCTGGTTCTTCGAGAGGTCGAGGATTTCGAGAGCTGGAAGCTCGGCGATCTGCGACGTTAGCGAAGCCACCAGAAGAACACTAACACAGGGAGGAACAAATGTTAGAAGGTTGCTCTTCAGGTTCAGGTACCTTAACCGGTTGAGTGAGGAGAAGTGCGGTGAGATTGTGCCGTCTCTTAGCTGATTGTACGAAAGCGCCAGTCGCCAGACACCCTTCTTGTCCTTGCCGACTTTCGAGTGAAACATCTCGACGGCGTCGTCCGTAATCTTGTCCAGTCGCTGGCGACTAAGGTCCAATGTCTCTCCCTCGTCCTTGGAGTGCTCGAGAGCCATATGAATCAGGCGCTTCACGGCATTGGCGGACGACTGCTGCTCCGGTGCGTTGCCGTTCGAGGGCGGCGACCAGTTGTTGTCTGGCGGTGACCGATAAACGCTTCGCGGTGGTCTTGGCGCTGGTGGAGTTGAAACTGTTTGACTTTGGTCATTCTGATGGGGCTGCGGTGCACCATGTATCCGTTCGGCCGCAACGGCCGCCGCCGACTGCTTGGTCGCCTCGGTGGTGACCGAGTTCGATCGAAGACGGACGGTCGGCATGTCCGTGGCTGACGCGAGGGGGGACAGTGAGTGCGACGATGAGGAGTTGGTCATGGCTGCCCCGCCTGTTGGGTTGGGGGTGGGGAAAGAAGGCAGTGGTCGAGTCATCGTGATGGGATGGCCGGCGAAGTGCGAAGATTGAAGAACTCGAGGTCAGAGGCGCTGAGGCTGGAGAGTGGCTGCAGGCGGCTGTCGCAGGTGCACGAGCGTGGGTTTGCCTGGAGGCGAAGGATTGTGGGCCGATAATCGAGGCGTGTCTGATGGAGATGGTGATGCGGAAGAGGGAGTTTACTCGACCATGGTTACAGGCCGAAGGTCGAGAGGGCGAGGTGAGATCGACGCTGGAGGGAAATATAATGTTTACTTGTGGAAGGCGAGATGAGAGCTTTGGTGTGGGAAGGCGAACGACTTGAAACTCAGCGCCCAGCGCTAAGACCCCTCGCAGGCGACACTGAAGCTGCGAGGGGTGCACGAACGATGACGGAAAGTCGAAAGAGGGGGAGGGTTGTGCAGAAGCAAAGGTCGAACGGGAGGAACAAGGACATGGATGCTCACGCATGCACGGCTTATGCTGGGGTGAGCCTCGGGCCTCGAAGCCACCGGCGCCAGCTCGCTCGGGTGACTGGCGGGAGCATTTTCCACCATCCGCCTCTTCCCCGTGTGAACTTTAGATGAGGTGAGCCCATGACGAGGAAACCCTTGACATGCTGCTCTCTATCTACGGCTTCTGCAGTGCCGTTCATGCATGCACGTCTACATTAAACTACAGTGTACAGCTACAGCCGTCTAGAGCGCCTCATCGTCCCCCACCACCAATGCACGCGACAGGTTGCGGGCAAGCGCAAGACGGACAACCTCCAGCTTGCGGAGCGCTGCCTGAATTCCTTCCCGTTCCTCGTCCTTAGCGTTCTTCGTGTGACCATTGGCAACACCGGCGCCGTTGGCCCCACCCTCCTTGCGCTCAAGGTAACGCCACAGTTGACCGAGGTACGTCGCAGGCGCGAATTTGGAGTTCGACAGCACCTCCTCGAGCACACGCATGAGCTCAAAGGTCTCGTAAGAGCCGAACAGAATCTCTTCATCCTCCAAAAGGTCGACGCTCTCCGCCAGTAACACACCCCAGAACTCGACAGGCGTGATGGGCATCAACAGGATCTCCACCAGCAACGCGGCCGCACGGTCCCGCGCGCCCTGGCCGAGGTAAAGCAGGTAGTCGCGGAACTTGGCTAGGAAGGCAAGACGAGCAGCGTGCATGACCATCGTGGTTTCGGGGGACTCAATGCCGTCCAGAGCATAGTTGCCTGCGGCGAGTTCAGTCAGTGTGACAGGAGCGTCGCTCAGAATCTTGGGCGGCAGAGTATCTACCAGTCGCAGGAACTCCTCCGGCCCGGAGGAGACGTAGATATCCAGGAGCTTCTCGGCGATTCGCGCAAGACCGAAGCCATCCTCTGCCATGAGGTATAGCGACGCCGCAATGCCATAGTCGCCTCGAAGTATTAATCGCTGAGACGTGATGGCACAAATAGTGCGCCACTCATCCTGCAGATTGAAACCTTCGCAGGTCTGCCGCAGCTCTCGCAGCTTCGTTGTGGTCTCGCTTTCCTCCTCCTCATCGTCCACGGACACGACCTCGACGTCCATGCTGCCGTTTGCAACCTTGCCCGATGGCTTGCTGGTGCCAAGGGTGACGCCGACTCGAACGATGTACTCATGCAGGCGGGCGGAACTGTCATCGCCGGCGGCGTTGAGGTACTCAGCAATGGCGCGCCACAGGTCCTCCTGGCTAGGGCTGTCCATGAGCATGTCGGCATACTCCAGGATGAAGTGGTCGCGCAGTGATGAATCAAAGTGCTCCTCGTCGTCGGGCAGGATTTGCAGCTTGTCGAAGACGTCTGCGAGATGAGCAGCGAGCCAGATGTCGAGTTCCTGGCAGCCCTCCAGAGCACGGACGGGGTCGTTTGAACAGATGCTGGACTGGATTGAGTCCTCCAAGACGGTAGAGTCGGCAGGAATCACGTCCAGAATGCGCTTCATGAGCGGAGGAAGATCGTCTCGTCGCAGGTTGACGTCCACCAAAACGCCCCACGCGCCGACTGCCTCTCGCCAGTCACCGGCCTCCTGAAGCACCCGGTCTTGGTTACCCTGGACAAGCTCCACAACACGGCGGAACTCATCCTCCATGGACGAGAAATCACCCTTGCTGCTACCGTCGTCCAGCCAATGCCCTCTGCTCCGGCCGCCGATAGCCGTTTCGAACTCTGCCCGGAACTGCCCGACCCAGCGTTTGTGAGCAGCGAGGAACTGGTGGTCGAGCGGGTAGGCATCGACGTTCGAAGACCGAGGAATGTTGGCGATGTTGGTAGCAAGAACTTGGCCGAGCTTGGCTATCGGAGGGTGGGGATGGTTTGTGAGAGTTCGCAGGAACGTTGATGCCGGAAGGAAGAGGCCACGAAGCAGGCATCTGATGACGAGCGGCCAGAAGAGAGGGTGTTCCCAAGGCTCCTTCAGCTGCATGACCTCGTTGCCTTGCGTGTTGACGTGGAAGGTGTCAACAGCATTCACCCAATCGAGCAGCTCCTCGCCCACAAGACCTTCTCCCCGGCCATCCTGCGGCAAGTACAGGATCTCGGCCAGGTTGAAGATGTGGTAGACAGCCTCGTACTTAATCTTCGTTTCGTCCTGAGAGTCAGCCCTGTTCAAGCGACAATATAAGCAATGCTCACGTCGATGTCAGCGTCACGCAGCTTGACAAGCTCCTCGAGGTACATCTCAACTAGCCGACGCATGTGGATGACACCCTGGGTGCTCAGAGAGGGAAGGCCCCCAAGGAGGTTGCTCTTGTTGTCCCAAGCATCGGCCATTGCTGGTGGTCGGTCGGAGCTGAGCCCAGGCAGTTGGTAGTCCGCCGCAACGATACGTTGAAGCGACGCAAACAACGTAAACGTCTCCGCATACAAATTCTGGATAGCGTCTGGAAACTTGTTGATGTTGGCGATGTAGGCAACACGGTCTGAAGTCGAGAGTTGGGTGTTGCTCGGCTTGTCATCAGGTGTCTGGAGTCAGCTGAAGCAGCAAGCTTCTCGATCTACCTGCTGGCCGACCCAGGCAACAACCTCTCCTCCAACAGGACTGGGGTTTGCGAACAGTGTTCGCCCGCTCGCTTTCCACTTTGCCTTGTCCTTGCGGGAGAACGCAGCAGGATCAAGGTTGAGTTCAATCGCATCGTCCTCGTCGCCAGTGTCGACAGCCATGTCGGAAGTTGAGGTGGTGGTCGCAGATGGCATAGAATTGGCGCTGAATGAGTTGAACAGGGGAGTTGGGTTCTTTGGCGCGGAAGGATTGCCAAAGCTGAACGCCGGCTGGGTCGAGAACGCCGAGCCCGACGGATTGGAGCTGAACATGGTGGTCTCTGCAGCTGCTTCGGCCGGCGCGGAGCTGGAAAACGCGGGTTGGTGTTGTTGTGCACGCCGGTTGCATCATGGTCGATCTCAGAAATCAATAGCAACAATGACGCCTCGCAGCGCGCCACGGGACCATATTGCCGTATTGCCGACCATCTGTATTGTGGCCGCCACTCACCTCGATCGCTGCTACAACATCGGCCTCTAGTGCTCCAGGTTTGGTACACCTTCTCTTCTCCAAGTCACTTGCTCAACCAACCCGCCCGCGACCAGGTCGACCAGATCCACCCGACTGCGCGTACCCAGGTCTCAAAAAATCGGCCCTCAGTAACCGATTCTGTGGCTTGAGCGAGCTCGATCGCCTCATCAACCATGTCCGACCGCGAAGCGTCCTCTGAGGGCGAGGGTGACGACATCCGCCCTTTCGGCGAGGGCGACCCCGACCGTGACTCGTCAGACGAGTCTGACGAGGATGACCCCGAAGAGGCCCGCCGCATCGCTGAGGGTTTCATTGTCGACGAGGACGACGAGGACGACTCCGAGGATGATGAAGAGGAACGCCGACGGAAGCGGAAGGAGCGCCGCAAGAAGAGGAAAAGAAGAGAGCGCGAGCGTCGACAGCGTGAAGAGGAGGAGATTTCTGAGGATGACTTGGAGCTCCTCAACGAGAACCTCGGAGGTGGTCGCCCGCTGAAGCGTTTACGCCATCGCGGCAGCGAGTCCGATGATAACATCCCTCGACTTCAGGACATGTTCGACGATGAGGACGAGCGACGCCGTTCTGACGATGAGTCCGATATGGGCGATTTCATCGAGGAGGATGAAGAAGAGGAGCAGAACCGCAACGAGACCGAGGAGGAGCGCCGCGCGCGCCGACGAGAGGAGAAGCGCATCCGTCGCGAACAGGCTCGCGCTCGCCCCGAACTTGCCGGCGTCAATCAAGAGTCCTGGGACGAGATTTATGATGTCTTCGGCGACGGACATGATTATGACTGGGCTTTGGAGGGCGAGGAGGGTGTGGAGGAGGACGAGGACGAGCCGAAGAAGAAGGATCTTCGTCTCGAGGATGTGTTCGATCCGGCCGAGATCAAGGCGCGCCGACTGCAAGACGAGGACCGCGCAATCGCGCACATGGATCGCCCCGAACGTCACCAGGTCATCAACTCCACTCTGTCCGACAACCCGATCATTGCTCCCGACTCCATTTTCCCTCCCCCCGATCTCGCCGCCCGCTGGGCTCACGACAAGATCTCCCCTCGTACGCGCTACATTTTCTGCGGCCTCGATGCGCAGTGGCCCATGCCCTCTCCCGAGGATCCTTACCCTCAACCGGCCAAACGTCGCCCCGACCTTCTGGACGACTACCAGAAGGCTGTTTCTGAAGCTCTCAACATGATGTTCGTCCAGCATCTCGAGGTCCCGTATCTGTGGCACTACAAGCGCGACAGCTTCGGCGTTCTCGAAGCTCAGGGTCAGTCCTCTGTCCAGTTCCTGGATGGCGATGAGCTGTGGGAGCTCTACAACCTGGGACAGAAGTATCGCGCGATCTGGGAGCGCGTCCAATCGCTAAAGGAGCAGTGGCGCAAGATCAAAGAGCGGAAGCCGGACCTCGAGGACGAGTACCTGGAGAAGACTCTCCTTAGCACCGTGTGTCTCCGTAACATCGAGACCGCTGCCGAGGGTGCCGATTGGCTCGCCTACACTTATGCTTCGGAGCTCCGTGCCATCAAGGAGGAGGCCGCAGCCGAGGAGGGAACCAAGCGGCTTCCCGAACGCCAGTCGGGTGGAAAGATCCGTGACGGACCCGTCCTCAAGCTGGCTGAGGCATTCGGAATTTCCGTCCCTACAGTCGCGCTGGTCTTCAATGAGACCGACGGTGATCCCGCCTCCTTGTCCAACCCTGAGAAGATGCCTTTGGCTCTCGCCGAGGAGTTCTCAGGCGAAGGTACACCTTTCTACACCCCTGAGGATGCGCTGAAGGCGGCTAAGGAGATTCTCATCAACGACTTTGCCCACGACCCAACTATCCGACAGCAGGCTCGTGACTTCGTTGAAGCACTAGGTACCGTGACCGTGACTCCGACCGAGCGTGGCATGGCGTCAATCGACGCTTACCACGCCTACTACCCCTTCAAGTTCCTGACCGACAAACCCATTCCGAACTTCAAGGACTCCGCGCAGTTCCTGCACCTTCTGAAGGCCGAGGAGGAGGGTCTTATCACCATTTCCATCTCCGCCCCGGAGGAGTCCACCAAGGAGTTCATCTCCGCTTTATCCCGCTGCGCTCAGTCCAAGGACTACAGCGAGCTCGCCGTGTCCTGGAATGCCGAGCGCGGTCAGGTCATCGACACCGCCTTCCGCAAGCATTACCTGCCCGCTGCCTGTCGCTGGATCAAGGAGCAGCTTCGGACCGACGCAGAGACTTGGGTGTGTGACCAGGCTCGTTTAACTCTCGAGGACCGCTGTAACGTCCGCCCCTTTGCTTCAAACCGCATGAGGCCCGGAGAGGTTCCCAACGTCCTTGCTATCACCATCGGTCAGGGCACTAAGAAGGATGCCGTCATTGGTGTCCTTCTCGGCGATGACGGCAACATCCGAGCTTCCTACAAGTTCGACAACCTCCGCGATGCCGACCCGAGGCGAACATTCATGGATGTTGTCGAGAGGCAGCGACCAGATGTCATCGCCATCGCCGGTCTTTCTGTTGAAACAGCTCGTCTTCGCAACGACGCGCAGTCGGCGCTCAGGGAAATCGTCATTGAGCAGAGCGGCCTGCAACCCCCTCAGCCCGAGGATTATTCCTCGCATGACGACTATCAGATGGAGCTCAGCCGCTTTAACGACTCGCTGGGCAACCGCATGACTCCCCTCATCATGGTGAACGATGAGACGGCTCGCCTGTACATGAACTCTACCGATGCCGCACAGGAGCACCCCGAGCTGCCGGTGAATGGTCGCTATGCGCTCGCTCTCGCGCGCTACACGCAGAACCCCCTCAACGCCTACGCCCGAGTAGGCAAGCAGTTGACAGCTCTCACATTCGTCGACTTGCATCAGAAGCTCGTTCCGGAGGAGAAGCTGCTGCTTGCCCTGGAGCGTGGATTGGTCAATGCGGTGGCCATCTGTGGGCTGGAGCTCAACATCACAGCCAACAGCCCGTATCAGCGCTACATGCTGCCTTACATTGCCGGCCTCGGACCGCGCAAGGCAAACCAGCTCGCCAATGCTATCAGCCAATCTGGTGGGCATGTCATGAACCGTATGGCGCTGCCGGAGACCAACACTCTGGGACCTACTGTCTTCGAGAACGTCGCAGGCTTCCTGTACATTAGCGCCGACTTGAAGGACTTCAGCCAACTGGAGGCTGGCGACACGACGGATCAGCCTGAGCCTCTCGACATGACTCGCATCCACCCCGAAGACTACGAGTTCGCCCAGAAGATGTGTCAGGACGCTCTGGATCTTGATGCAGAGGATGTCGCGGACCAGCACAAGTCTGCGGTTGTTGTGACGTTGATGAACGACGAGGACAGAGGGAAGAAGCTGCGCGACCTCAATATCGACGACTTCGCCTTCAACCTCCAGCGTCAGGGTGAAGGTAACAAGCGTCACGCTCTGGGTGAGATTGTTTCGGAGCTCGTTCACTGGCACGCGGATCGCCGACCTCCTTTCTACATCCCGGACGACTGGCAGATTCTCACCATGCTGACGGGCGAGTCTAGCAGAACCATCAACAGAGGCTTGCAGGTTACCGCCACCGTCCGCAAGGCTCTGTCTTCGAGGGTGTTCTGCACTCTGGAGAGCGGCATTGAGGCCGTTCTGGAGCGCGAGTACGTTTCTGACAATGACGATGTCAACTCGTGTGATGACGTCTTCAAGCCCCGCCAGGCGATCAAGGCTGTCATCATCGATGTCGACCCTGTTCGCTTCGAGGTACGCTTGTCGACGCGTGCGTCGGATATGAGCCAATCGGTTCCGTTCATCGCCCCCTTCCGCCAAGACGAGTTCAACGACGAGGGTAGGATGGCGATGGCCGAGGAGGCGGCCGCTGCCAAGCGTCGTCGCCAGGCTGGAAGCGTGAAGCGCGTCGTCAACCACCCGAACTGGCACGTCATGAACTCTGGTCAGGCGGAGCAGTTCCTTGCTCCGCTGCAGCGTGGTGACGTCGTTGTGCGACCGAGCTCGAAGGGCGCGGATCACCTCGCTGTCACCTGGAAGGTCGACGAGGACGTGTACCAACACATCGACGTCCAGGAGATTGACAAGCCGAACGAGTACGCTTTGGGCCGAATTTTGCGCATTGCGAACAAGTACTCTTATTCGGATCTCGACGACCTCATCATCAACCATGTGAAGGCGATCGTGCGCAAGTTTGACGAGGTTCAAATGCACGAGAAGTTCAAGAATGAGGGCGAGCTTGAGTCCTTCCTCAAGAACTACGTGCAGGCGCACCCTGGTCGTTCCACCTATGGCTTCTGCATCGACTCCGATCACCCCGGTTACCTGAAGTTGTCGTTCCTGAACAAGTCGACCAAGGACGGTGGTCAGATTCAAACCTGGCACGTCAAGGTGCTTCCGGGAGCCTACCAGCTGAACAACGCTGAAGTGCCGGGTGTCACAGAGCTCTGCAATGCCTTCAAGGCGCAGTACTCTGCCCGTCTCGACGAGCAGGGACTCGGTGGACGCACGCCCGGCGTCCGTATGGCGGCGCGCACGCCGATGCACGGGGGCAGGACGCCTGGCGGTCGCACGCCTGGCATGCCTATGCGTGGCGCCGCGACGCCTATGTATGGCGGCCGTACGCCCATGCACGGCGGTGGCGGTCGCATGCCACCGCCTCCCCAAGGCTACCCGCCGCAAGGTGGCTACCCTCCGCCTGGCTACGGCGGAGATTACGGTCGTGGAGGTGGCGGCATGATGGGCCGCAATGGCGGATATTAGAGAGATTGTGGACGATGAGCACAGAAGGCAGTCCTTTCTGAGTGTATAACAGCATTTCTATTAGTAAAACGATGCATAGCATGTAGATTCCATCATACTTTCTCGTTGCGAGATCTGTCAAGCCCTACCGTGTCGCTGTCACTTCAATCGTCACGATCATCTCGGATCCTGCAAATCCCACGATTCATGACTGCGCTCGACGCCTCCGTCCCTTCGCGCCTTCGGCATCAGCATGTCCATTGTCTACAACTGTCTACAACTGAACTCCACTGACCGCCCATGCCTTAAAAGCAAGTCGCCTGTCATCGGAAGATTCGAGCCCAACCCCCGCCCCAACCTCGGCTCCGTGTCCTCGATACTTCAATGCGGCCGTTTCGCGTTTCGGTGAGACGCTAGGCGCCCACAGCAGCCAAGGCGGGGAGCGGAGTGCTGAGTCTATTGCGTGCCCAGATTGCGTACTCCGCAGAAGGGGAGTGCACACTCTCTGTTGTGGCCCATGGACCCCGGCGCTAACTGCCGAGCACGGCGTGCACCGGCGACGCTGAGCAAAAGGCATCATCATCTGCTCGTCATCACATTTGCTCGTCGACGTTACTTCGCACGAAGCACCGCTGCAATTGGGCAAGTACGCGAAGGTATCGAGATGCAAGGAAAGCCGTAAGGCAAGGCCATGGGCGAGCCGTCCTCCGCGCTGTCTGGGTCGGCAACGGACGTGCGTAATCCGGGGGAGCTGAGCTTACTGGCGTGAGCTTCCCGGCGTGTCCGGCACGTGCACGTTCCTCCTCTTCTCACAACTGAAGAGCAGGACGCACCTACACGGAGTCCCCAAGGCGCACTTAGAGTATGACGCTGCCGCAAGCGGCCGAACAAGGGGAATAGGCGCAGAGCACCGACGCTGGAACGGCGATATGTCGCGATGGCCGTGTCCGTGCCTGCACCTTGGTCAAGTACGCACTGCAGCCTCTGGGTGGCGGATCTGGTAAAAGCTCAATGGCACGGACAGCTTATTCCGGAGCAGCGAGGTGCGTACGGCGCAGGGTTGACCTCTGACCGGCGTGTGGCGCTCGCCTCTGAGGATCATGGAGCCGAGCCGAGCGGGGTTGCGTAGAAGGCTTACGTTTGCTGCTCTCATCTCTTCGGAGGGCCAAGGCCACTACGACGCGATCTCCTGTACTCTTCGCGAAAACGGTTGTGCGTCGAGTCCGGCTTCCCTTCGAGGCTCGAGAACTTTAGACGCGCTCTCGTTCCGGGGACGGATCGCAGCGCCGCAGCATACCTTCTCCCTCCCCATCTCATGGAGCACTCACGTTGACGAGGGTCCCGACAGACTTTTGGTGACCTCCCTTTAACCGCTGCGCTCCACTGATGCCTTTTTCTGACTGCCATCTTCCAGTCCCAGCACAGTCGCAGCACGGTGCCTGTGGTGAGCTCGAGGGGTGACTAACGGGCCAGATCTCGCTCGGAGCCCAGGTCGGTGCGAGGCGTTGCTGCACGGGGTTTGAAGTCGCTCGGATTACGTTCAGGTCCAGCGACACCTCCCCACCCACCCCAGAGGCACCCTTGACATCACTTTGGCATCTCGGTGCTCTGCAAGGCTGTGCGGCTGACGTGGCAATACCAGGCGATAGCGTCGACGCCCTATCCAGCAACCTGGAAGCAGCGGCTGCAGAAGGTTCTGAGTGATCTTCCGCAAGCGAAGACTCAGTAAGATGTTGGTAGTGTGAAGCAAGATTCAGCGAGCATCGAAGCCTAAGAGGGTTTCAACGAGTGCCTTTCGGTTCTCGATCGCGACTGGGTTGCTCACACGTCAGAAGCATGGCAGCGCAGGAAGAGGCGGTGCGAGCAGTACGAAGGTTTAATTAACCCATGTCTGAAGCCCAGTCGTGCCGAGTCGGGCTCCGTCTGAAGCCGTGTCCTGCGCGCGGTGAGCTAGTGAGTGTCCGTCGAGAACGGCGTGAGTTGCGCGTGTTCGATTTTCTCAATTTCCTGTTCTGCCAGAACACTTTGACTGGCCGAAATGGGCGACAGGAGTATGAATGCGAACACATCCAGAAAACAAGGTTATTCCGATGACAACCTACGCGAGAAGGACGCTTGCCCGGCGTACCTAAGTTCCTGGGTTCCTGGTGTTCCTCGCGAGCGCGAGTGCTGACGATTGCCTGGATGCGGCAGATGCACGAGGAAGGCACGAACCACCCACGAGGAACGGCTGGCACACGTCACGCCCAGTAGCATCCTGGGTATGTCAGGTCCGGCAAGCACAAGCTCATACCGGATAAGGGTGGCTGCTGTCGATTTCGCCGAGGCGGGCTGCAATAGACTCCAGCAGCGCGTGAGCGCTTAGGATTTCGTGAGTACAGCATGCTACTACACCCTGCTGTCAGCGTTGAATGTACAGTAGAAGAAAAAAGGGTAAGATCAGCTGGAAAGCGAGTGTCAAAAGCGGGATGACGGCATGCCTCTGTCGACGACAGCAGATCGACCGCAGCGGCTGACGGTACGCAGGTTGCGCAAGTACGGCATCCGGCCCGGGTGTTTGACACAGACTGAGACAGCACTCGGCGAACCTGAAGGTGGCTTCAGGTATCGTGTTTGATCTACTGCATCGTACGCGCAAGGTGTACATTGTTGCTGCATCATTGACGTTGCGTTTACGTCGCGTTCTGGCCGGCATTATGAAGTTGTGTAGCTGCAGAAGGCACAGAAGCGAGCTGAAAACGAGCGAAACCGAGAGCAAGCGGGCAAGACCACCAGCGGCCGCCGCCCTCGATCGCGCAAGGATGTTTTCGACATCGTTCTGAGACCTTTACGAGAGGAGAACAGACCCATGAGTCGGTGTGTGTTCGACCGATGGAACGGTGCAAGACAGGCGCGTGCACTTTCCTGTCATCGTCCTGAAAGTTGCGGTCATGATGCGCCCGCTCGGGAGCGCCGAAATAGCGATCGTCTCGATCCCCCCTCATCCCACCCGAAGTTCAGGTCAGAAGAGCCGACTCAGTTACATCCGCTTGAAACTGTCTTGGACCTCAATGCCGGTATGATCGCTGACCTTGCCACCGCGCCCGTATAGTCAGTAGTGTCTCGCTCCAGAAGTCTCGACCGATGATGGCATCCGTAACTTTGGGGCAGAGGGCCTCGTCTCACTCTCAGACAGTGGACGCCAGCGCCTCACAACGAGCACAGCGCACGGCTGTTTCTTGGTCCACAAGTCTGGCAACACATCAAGAAGCACACGCTTTGATCGAGGCTCGGGGAGGCCAGCTGGGCATGCTCCTGCAGGCTCCAGCAATTCGCGCGCCATATTGGAACTGGCGCCTTCATTCATTTCGTCCAACTCGCGGGTCGCTGGACTAGGTTTGGTGCGGAGATATATGAAAGCTGGTGAGACAGTCGCTTACGGCTGGAGCGCAGTCTGTATTCAACCCTGCATGTACCCTCCGTGCACCCTCTGCTGGGCGCCTAGGCCCTTTGCTCGTGTGCAGCGTCGCGGGCCGACGCCTTTTCCGGCTCCAGTGGCGCTCTGAATGTCATCATATCGGCGATACCGCGCCGGCTGCATTCAATCTGCACCACGCTCCGACAGTCCTCCGCCAGGTAATGTTGAGCCGCACGAGGACCTGATCGCGTTGGAATCAATGACGAGCGAGTCTCGATTGGTTCTTCGATTGGTGTGACGCCGTTACATGCAGCGATAAGGATCGACAATTTTCGTGCCGCCGTCCTTCATTGTGGCTTGTCGCTCCACACCGAGCGCTGCTTGAAGATCGCCACTGCCCTCTATCACCACCATTCGGCTCCTGCGATGAGGCCATCGTGGAATCCCCGCGCCGCCTAAGAACTTTGCCGCGTGCAGCTGACGACTACTTTCCGGCCATGCAAGCGCTGTTCTCATCCTGACACCCCCCTGTCGAAAGGTTGAACAGTGGATAGCCCGGCGTCCCCACGTAGTAACTGCCCGAAGTACTCGGACTGGCATCTGCATGTTTAGAGTTTGACGTCAGGAGTTTCTCGTTGGATGTTGGATGCTGGCAAGGACGCTGCATTGCGGTGCGCTCCCCACCGCACCCCTTGAAGTCTACGATGTCCGGTACCTGGCTTCTCTGCTGCTGGGTTTGCTGCTTTGAGTTGGTACTAAGGGTCTGGGTTTGAGATGGAGCTTAAACGTCCCTCTCCTTCGCGAAGAAGACACCGCCAAATACCTGAACCTGCCAGACCTGTCAGACAGGGCTCTCAGACACCCAGGAAACGGCAGCCAGGATGCCGACAGCACGGCACGATGCCCATAAAACGTCGTCCAACACGCGTGGTAGCGTGTCTCGAAAGCATCGGCAACCTTGCCGCCTGGCTCGCCCTGGGTTGCGGTGCATCGCCCAGCAGTTCCTCGGCACGCACCCAGCCCGCGGCAGTCCTGCTACCAAGCGTCCTCGGTGCTCGTAATCTTATCCAGCGCAGACCTGTAACGGGCAACCCTCAGGTCCCTCGGGCTTGCGGCCTCTGACCGCCGGCCAGCTGGCTCTCCTGTCGCCGTAGTAGGTAGAAACACCATGTCCATGTGCTAAACACGTCCAGGCCTCCTAGACAGGAGACATTCCACTGCGGAGACTGATGCAACCCAAACCCACCATTCCACCGCGACCGCCACCCGACCACGAGCAGGTCGTCGATGTCGGTTCGGTTGCGCTTCCTCTCCTCTTTTCTACATCTCTCCTCCTCTCTCTTCTTCTCCATCCTATCATCCCTCCTCCCTTCTCTCCCCATCCATTCCCTCCCTCTCTCTTCCATAGTTTCCATAGTTTACTCCCTCTTCATCTACCGACCTTTCCCTCCGCCCTCATCCCCTTACCCCACGTCTACACCGACACCCCCCCACACGTCTTACCGACTTTCTTCGAAATACCACCAAAAACAGCCAAAAAAATACAACCACGACACTTCTAAAGACCTCATTACGTTTACGAACCCACGCCCTCACGCACCTCTGACGCTCGACCGTTATTCCTCTTCAGAAAACTCCAACGACTTTTGATTTACACGCTCGTCCTCAGTGACGACCACGCCTTGATTCGATTCAACGCCTCTTTCAACGCTTCCAACGCGCCTTTCACGCTTCAAGCTTCCTTTTCATTGCTCCTTCTACGTAGTTTCTAGACGAACTCTTACAACTTTTTACTCTTTTCTCCTCAAGACTTGACTCCCAGTGACGAAAGCCCATTTCATTGTGAGTATCTTGTGCCAAAGGTGGAGTGCGTCCTGGTCGTGTTGTGAGAGCCGACAGCCGGGACAGGTGTCGTAGGGCTTCAAGGGCCTTCAGGTTTGGGATTCAAGGGTGGTGAGGAGGGTTGAGGGATGTCGGGTTGAGAGAGAGGGAGATGAGTGAAGGGTCCTGGGAATCTGATCCCGTATGGCCCCTCAGATTTGGGTTTCAGGCCGCTGCGAGCGACAACCGAGTGACCTGCCGACTCCCTTGCTGAGGTCATCCTCGACCTCCTCCATCCGCATCTCTCTCTCTACGAGATTCACTATGCATCCAGCCGCTGACAGCATGCAGCAGATTATTCCCCGTACGACACACAAACGAAAAAACAAACGTTACTGAGTGGGTGTCAATGCGGTGTGGACGAAAAAGATGAAACAGGGCGATGGCTGCTTGGCTGAACCTTGCCCGGCGGTGATGCTGCCACCACTACCACCACCAAACGTCCTCTCACGACCATCATCATCGCTGACAATCAGTTCATCCTTCCCCTCCGTAGCACGCACCTAGCACACACTCACCCGTTCGGCCCAGCTCCGAACTCTCCCCGTGCATACTTTTCCCGCTGCGCTCTCTCCTCTGTTGTGCGCCTGCTGCCTGATATCGCTCGCCACGCGACGAAATTCACTACAACTCGAGCTCACTCCTCCACGCGACGACCACGCTGTTCTCGCGCGCCGACATCGACCACGACCCTCCACTCGACGAGTCCACCGAAACCTAGAGCGCGGCTCCCCATCTCAAAGTGAGTGCTCGCCGGGGTTGAGGGGGAGCAAGATGCATGTAGCAGTGTTGTCGCGGTGCGGGTATAGGGCTCCACCAGTGCCACAAGGGCCACCCCAAGGGCCGAGCAAAGCCCGGAAAGGAAGGACTGCGGTTGCGGGGGCCAGTCCCCTCCATCTTGGCTTCATACAATCACCCACCACCACCACCATCCAACCACCAACCACCATCCATCGACCACTCTACTCCTCCCACCGCATCCATCCCCGCCGCCGTCGTCCTCCCCATCGCCGCGCCGCATCCATCCACCCCAGCTACCTGCTCCGTCCCCCTATCGCATTGCATACTGACTCGGGCTTGTGCCCGGTGTAGATGAATAGGGCCCCTTCTCAGCGTTTTCACCCCCACCAGTTGGACGCGCACCCTTCCTACTACCACCAGGACGCGTACTACAACCCCCATCCTCACAACTACCACCCTTACTCAAAGTGAGTTCCCCTCGGCGATCCCAACGTCAGCCACGCCAACTGACATGCCAGGCCTCGTCACTATCGTGCACCCCCTCCTCACCGGCTGCTCTCTCCGCCCCCCAGCCGTGAACGTCGTCATCCCGCGACCCTCCTGCCACCGATCGAGACTGGCTTCTCCCACCACTCGTCTTCCTTGACCGACGCCCCTCCTCCTCTCACTCGTCGTTCTCGCGCATCGAGCACGTCACACCACCACCGTCCTCGCGCAGCACCCTACCCCGAATACTCTGCCCGACGCACTCTCTCGCCTCCTTACAGGCATCACGACGCGTCTCGCTCCTCTCGTTACCCTCCCGAGCTCTCTCCTCCTGGTGCCTACTACGACCGCCAGTGCGACGACATTCTCTTTCCTCTCACACCCCAATCCGCCAAGTTTGAATCTCCAGCCATGGTTGCCCACGACTCTCGTGACCACGCCCTGGACCGTCTTCCCCACCTCCGCATCTCGGAGCGTGACTATGACATCAAGCCCAAGGCCTCGGGCTATGCCTCGTCCGAGGATGACTACCCCTCGACCTACCGCGCCATGTCGCCCGCTGAGCGCCGTTTCCTGCAGACTGTTGTCCCCGAGCAGCGTCGCACTGTGACCGCCTACCCTGTTACCGGAGGGTACAGCTGGCCCCCGACGGCCGAGGTCGCCACCACCGACGCCCAGCAGCAACAGCAGCAGCAGCAGGTCACTGATGAGCAGAAGCGTGACCCCAACGCTATGGCTCTCGACCCTGCGCTCTCGTCTGTCCGATCATCTGCTGACGGGACTGCTGCTGGCAACGGTGCCCAGGCTCCGCCGGAGCTCCGTCTCATTCCTGAGACTCTTGGCTCTGCCGCTGCCGAGTCGCCTGCTGCCGACGTTGAGATCAAGGAGGCCATCGCGCAGGTTCCTGCTGCCCAGCAGACCCTCGCTCCCCCCGAGCCGCCCAAGAAGGAGACGCCGTTCTCGCGCTCTCCCGAGCTCCGTATCTCGCACAAGCTTGCGGAGCGCAAGCGCCGCAAGGAGATGCGCGATCTCTTCGACGAGCTCCGCGATGCTCTTCCCCAGGACCGCGGAATGAAGGCAAGCAAGGTGAGTCGCTTTCATAATGTTTGGTTCATGGCCGCGATTAGATTGCCATGCGATTGCAGATTACCATGCGGTCGCCAGGTGGTTGTGAAAACGGTTCCTGAGACCATCCACTGGTGAGCTAGTGCTGACATTTGCAGTGGGAGATCCTCTCCAAAGCCATCGACTACATCCAGGCTCTGAAGAACCAGGTCAACGACAGCCACCGCCAGGTCGAGATCCTGGCGCGCGATCTGGCCGTCGCTCGCGGCGAGAACCCAGGTACGCACTGGGCCTCGTCGTACCACAACTTTGCCTCGAGCATCCCGGCCTACGTTCCTCCCGCCGCTGCCGCCGCTCCTGCGCCTGCCCCCGTGTGCTAAACACGTCC